CAGTTACCTACTACGAGATGTAACTGCAGGTACTGGTAATTAGACCTTATTAAAAGATACAGCTTAATCTTAACAGCTTGATCAATTGTTCAAATTTTTCTATATATGAGCTGTAATTACTAATGCCAGCATTATTTGGTTCATTTGCTTAAGAGATTTTATGTCTTTTGCTGAAATTAGCCAAAGTGAACCCATACCAACAAAGATGGCAAATATCTCTATCACGACTCATTCCCATTGTTATTCTTATAACAATAGAACGAGTAATATAAGGATCTGAAGACTAAGTTCATAACTTTTAAAAGAAAAATGTTCAGTGGGCTATATATAATATATATATATAATATAATATATTATATTATTTATTGTGAATTCAAGAGAGCAGTCTGAGATTTACAACTTGAATTATTTACATTGCAAACAACCAACTAAAATTTTTGAAAAAGTCAGCAACTCAATTTCACATCCAAAATACCTCAACAGTCATCACAAAGGTGTGAAAAAGACAGTCAAATATTTTCCTTAGTTGTACCAAGACTAATGGTCTTAAAAAAAGGAAAGAAAAAGAAAATAACATAAATAACATCAAAAAACCCCCACACTTCTACTGCAGTGTAGTAAAACTTCTACTACACTGTATTAGAAGTTTTCTACATGCTAGCTTTGCTGTTCAAATCCTAAAAAAAAACAATATTAAATTAGCTCGATTTGGCAATGTTAAACACATGATATTTTGAGTTGAATGAAAAATAACTGGAAGCTCACAAATATTAATTTTATACAATGAAAAGGAAAATAACTATTTTTTTCTTTTAAAGGATCACAGAGAGCATTATTAAGATTTAAAGCACCTTAGCTGCATCATCATAAATGTCTTAAAACAAAAGGTCATTGTGAGTTATGTGGGCATACTTGGGCCCAAAAAGTTCAATTTGCAAACACATTTTCCCTGTTGAATCCTGCCCGCTAATGCCTAGGTCTTTATTAACTTTCTTCTAAATAACACTTTCTACCATCCATCAGTTTCCCCACATACCTTCTTGTTTTTTTCCCCTTGACATCTTTCATAGAATCATTTGAACACACTCAAATCATTCCTTATAGTGAGATGCCCAAACTTGCACATGGTGCCTGTGAGGGGGCTGCACCAGTGGGAGAATGACCTCCACTGACCGGCGTGGCTATGCTTTACTTGATGCATCCCAGGACATGGTTGGCTCTTTTGGCTGCCAGGTCACGCTGTTGACTCATTTAACAATGAGCCCACACCCCCTCTTTACATCCCTACGCCTCCCTCCCAGCCCCAAGATCTCTTTCTGTGGGGCAGCTCTCCAGCCTCTCCTCCCCCAGTTCATACATCTAACCAGGATTACCCGGTCTCAAGTGCAGAATCTCCCTGTAAGGCCTCTCTACCCCCAAGAGTCCACAGCTTCTCCTAGTTTAGTATCATTGGCAAACTTCATGTACATTCAACTCCTGCATCTAGAATACAGCTGAATCTTCCACTGTTTTTTCATGACAGAAGAGAGGAAGGAAACCTGTCTCTAATGTTTTTCTGAAAACTTTCCAACATCAGGGGTAAAAGCCAAATAATAACAAAACAAATGTTCAACAGGTAACATATAGTAAAAAAAAATCTGCTGTGGAATGGGGTCAGCTTTCCCACCTATTCTCCCTGAACAGGAAATGGAAGAGGCTGGAGTAAAGTTCTGATCACATCTTACTCTTGTAGACAAATTTGCTTTTTCTCCCTCAATGTTATGAACTTTCTGATTGCAGACTAGCTCTGCAGAATTTAATCTGTGTTGCATGTGTAGCCTATTTTGGGAATTTATATCAAAACACAGTATCTTCAGATAACACCTGATTAATCACGATCTGTCCTTAGCTAATTTAGTTAGGGGAAAGCTATAAGCAGAAAGACATACAGCTTGCTATTTTTAAGAGGACATTAGTAAGGTTACATATGAAGTCATCATCAAGTTTCATAGACAAGATGATACAAAGTCAATGTATCAAAACAGGAACAAGACAATTTTGTCAAACGACTTTATTACTTGTGTATAAAGTAAGAATTTCTTAAGCTGATGAAAGGACACAGAAGCCACCTTTTACAGGATATACCTAGTGGTTTTGTATGTGGTTTTAAGATGCATGCATCATCAATGCAAATGCAAACAACTAGGGTAGCTTTTGTTCAAGTTGTCTTGCTTAAAAACTAAGGCAAGTGCCTAATTTAAGATATACTGCTCATGGAAAAAAGCATTCCTAGCAGTTAATATAGGTGAGGAAAACTGCAAGAGCAATCATCTTTGCATGAATCAAAATACAATAGCTTTAACTTACACAATACAGCTTTTAAAGCAAATACTTAAACATAGTCCATATCTTAACTGCTTTGGTGACTGAAATGGAGATCAACTTCTGAAACAATGTTTTAAAAGTTGCTCATGAGATAGACTTAAAATATCAGCCACAAGAACAAACCGATTACTTCTCATGGGAGAGACTCGAAATATCAGCAACCTCAGAAACAAATGAATATTATTCATACATAACCTAGAAAAAAAACATTTGGCTGAATAAAAATATTTACTTTTCAAAATGTAATTGCTAAGATGGACTCCCTAATCATCTGTTTCAAGATGTATCAATCATCAGCAACTTCAGAACACAAACAAAAACCCCTAAACCTTTTCTTTTTTTGACTACTGTGTATGGTGGCAGGAGAGTAGGGCTTTACTGAATTGTTTTTTTCATTTCTACATAATATATTCCAAATACTGAGACATCAAACATTTAATTAACAAACCCAAATTTTAAAGTGTTCACAAATTACATGTGCTGTTTTGATAAATATTGTTACACTAATATTTCACCACTGAATGCATATTCCCTTTTTCTTCTAATATAGTAGCCCTTTGCAGTTTTTATTAATTTAAAGGCCAGAGAATAGATTGTTTTTACACAATATGCCATTAAGAGTTATTTGAGTATCTAATTAGGAGAGGTGATGAATAGACAAAGTAAAATTACACACATATTATGCTGGTACCTTCAAACAAGGTTCCTCACACACATATATACCAGTAATTACATTTTTCAGTCTAGAAAAAGATTTATTATCATGAACAAAATTGTTATAATTTCATAAATTCATATGGTTTCAAATATGTACAGAACTTACTTTTCCTCTGGAAAAAGTTTGCAGTTTTTCATTTGTAGAGGGGAGAAAAAAAAGTAGGTGGCAAGCACCAAGATTTACAACATTGAATAGCAAATAATTACAGCAGACTTTTGGAAAACTACCAATGTTTAAGAGTTTTTCAGTTGCTGGCTAAACAACTGCAAGCATCTTTGCCAAAACCAGAATAAAATGCCTAATCAAAAGTGACTTTTGCATACAGAAAACAATTTATGCACTAATCTATTTTAAGAAGAAAGTTAAACCAGTTATAGCAAGGACTGTGACTATATCTGTTCAGTTGTGCTACCCAGTTTTCAGTTCCAGTCCAATTCAGAGTTTACAAGCTGAATCTCATGCTTTAGCACATATGAAGCCTGTTCCTCCCATTCAGTGATTCACACAAATTCTGTCCTGGAGATGAAACACAGTGTACTAGCTAACAATGCTGTACTGGTTTTACTGTGCAGTTCCTCCACAAGTTCCATTACAGACACTCCATATATTACTGGTACACGGGAACTATTTGTCTGCCCATAAGACAGATACTCAGGAGACACTCACAGAGATTTCACCTATGAGGTCATCGTCGACTCTCAAATCTTACTTGTTCCTCCAATTTTGAGCACCACTCGAGATGCTTCTCGTTTAATTCTACACAGAGCAAAATATAATTGCCTTGATTTAAATCATATCCTCTAACAGATTTTCATTGTACAAAGCAGTAAGGTTACAGAGCAGAGAGGTTTATGATGTTTGACTACAGCATAAACCGATATAATTTTATATATTTCTCTAAAGGAAATATAGGGGATACAGGGTTATTAGTTCAGTCTTGAGACATGCCCTACTATATTTAAAGATTAAGACACCCAGTGCTATGTTTTAGATTCATTTTTGCATTTTGTTAAATACTGGCTCTTCCCATCAGAAACTCACCATGAGGTGAGCCACTGAGAAAAGCACAAACATATAGAAAACTGCATTTATTAGTGTCTTAATAGGAAATTTCATGAAAACGTACCACATGGAATATAGTGTAGAAGCAGACAGTCTGTGTGTATATATATATATACACAGATGCATACATAGAAAGGAAACAAGACAACTCTTCAACATCACCCTATAATAAAGACTGCTTTAGGAATGTTCTCTGAGGAAAAAATACTTAGGCTCTCAGCAATGTAGAAAGTACGGTAGAGAATATACACAAATTCACAAGATTAAAAGGATCATTGAAAAACATGGAACCTTTTTAAACAAAAAGGAGCCTTTTAAACATGACTGCATAAGGAAGTAAAAAAAAGAGTTAAGGTAAAATAGGCAGGTCTTTAACATGTAAAACAGTGGTTTGAATCATGTCATCCTGATAAAATTTCAGTATACGGAAGATGTATAAATAATTTTAAAGAAATAAGTATCTAAGGTTTGAATACACATTTTCAATACATATTCAATGCAATTTGATCTTGTGATCTTTCCAGAAGATATAAAAGCTGCAAATGCTCTAAATCCTTGAAACAGAAATCAGCTTCTTACTGAGATACCTTTAAGTGGATATGCACTAAAACTCCCAAAGCTGGAAAAATAAAAAAGCTTTAGTGCATGTACATACAGACAGTTCTTAAACTATTTCCATAGAGTACAAGGGTAACATTAAAACATAAATAAAGTATTTTGCTTCAGTTTATCATTTATCTTGCAAAAGTTAAATTCTTAGGAGGAAAAAAAAAAAAAGAAAAAAAAAAATTATTTACAATCAAATGCATGGAAAAATTGATTTTCCACTTAGAGAAAGAATATAATTTCTACTAACCTTCAGGATCAAGGAGTTTCTCTATGCCCAGGTGTTTCCTGGCTATGCTGAATGCATGGTCTAATCTTTGCACAGGTGACTGCTGAGAAGCAACAGCGTTCCAATCAAACAGGTCTGGTCTAAAGCAAAAATAAGAGGAACAGTAAATTTCTTCTTTTTTTAGCACTAGATTTAATTACATATTTTAATGGCTATCCATCAGCACCAGCTACAAATTTTTAATTTTCTTAATGAAAGAACTTGTTCAATCAGGAAATAATGAAGTTTGGTTTCTAATGGGGTTGCATCCTATATTCATCCATGTTCATCACCATCGCATTAACCACATTTCTTATTCTCACCAAAGTCCCAACAGCCCATAACCCTCAAATCACCTATTTTCACCCATAACACTGCTCCTGTCACTGCACAAAATATCCACCATGGACTTGTTCCCCTGCTGCAGGCCCAAAGAGTACCTGCTTGAGAAGGAATATCGCAGGCCAGCAGAACAGATATCTGGTGAGATAATTTTGCAGCCTTCCTTCTCTCTCCAGCCACCAGTTCTTCATCTTACTATTTCTAAGCATGTAATTGCTTCTAAGATTACCAGCTTGCTGTTATATCAAATTAAAATAGATTCAAAATTCATAAATGTAGAATCATTTAGGTTGGAAAAGACCTTCAAAATCACCAAACCTAACCTAGCACTTCCAAATCCACTACTAAACCATACCCCTAAATGTTACATTTACATGTCTTTGAAATACCTCCAGGGACGGTGAATCCACCACTTTACTGGGCAGCCTTTTCCAGTGGTTGACAATCCTTTTGGTAAAGAAATCTTTCCTAATATCCGAACTAAATCTCCCTGGCAAAACTTGAAGCCATTTCCTTTAATCTAATCACTTGTTACCTGAAAGGAAACTGACAACCACCTCACTACAACCTCCTTCTAGGCTGTTGTAGAGAGTGATAAGGTCCCCTGAGCCTCCTTTTCTCCAGACTAAATAACCCCAGTTCCCTCAGCCATTCCTCACAGGACTTGTGCTCCAGATGCTTCAGCAGCTTCATTGCCCTCCTTTGGACATGGCCCAGCACCTCAGTGTCCTTCTTGTTTTGAGGGGCACAAAACTAAACAGAGTATTGAAGGTACAGCCTCACCAGTGCCGAGTACAGGGGAACAATTGCTTCCCTAGTCCTGTTGGCCACACAATTTCTGATACAGCCTGGATTCTACTGACCTTCTTGGCCACCTGGGCACAAGCTGGCTCATTTTCAGCTGGCTGCTGACCAACACCCCCAGCTCCTTTTCTGCTATGCATGTTTCCAGCCACTCTTCCCCCAAGTCTGTAGTGTTGCATGGGGTTCTGGTGACCATAAGAGAAGGTCACAGTCTTTGCAGTACCTGGCATTTACTAGACTTGTTGAACCTCATACAAATGCTTCAGTCCATTGATCTAGCCTGCCCAAGCCATAAGCAGTCAGTTTCTCCATGCTGTGGGAAACAGTGTTAAAGGCCCTTGCACTCCTGATCCCTTAACCAGTCGTCCTAATGGTGATCATGACCTGGGAATGTATGCAGCATAGCTGCACGTGCCACTTTTCTTACCAAAATGTTTGGAAAACACACACTTTTCAGATGAGCATAAAACTGTAGTGCAATCATAGGTTTTAGCTTGTAGGTGCAAAAGTACGAGAGCACAATTTAAATGTTCTTGCAGGAGACGACAGACCAACCAAATCTGAATTATAGGTCAGATACGCAAATCTGAGCCCTTGTATTATGAGTTGCACTATTTGCAATATAAATTATGTTAATAAATTGTGATTTCCAGCATTTCATCTGAGAGCTATCCAGTAGGATATTCAGAATTTATCAGGCACTGTGGAAAAAAGTTTAATCAGGTATTCTGTAATTAATCTGTATATAATATGAAGAAAAACAACTACACTGTTTGTGACTGATACAGTGTTTTAAATCAGAAAACACTGAACCATAATCTTCGCCATCGATAAATCAAGTATGTTATTTACACAAATTAAAATGTGCAAGTAGTCATGACAGATTTACTTACATTTTTATTAATTTCAAAAGTAATTTTAAACATTCTACCATAGTTATAATAGATGGCAAAAATGTTCACTGCATTATACTGTAATAACATCAGAAGAGCAAAGGAAAAAATGCCATTTATGTAGTAGCAATTTCCCAGTTATTCACCTTTGCTGTCCAATCTTTTTCTGAGAGGGGAGTGATTTACATATTAACAATTAAGTTGTTCTAAGTTATTTTGCTTCTCTATGCAGAAGTACTTAAACATTAATTAAAAATAGAGCTTTCTCCTTCCCACATAAAGAAGAACTTCAAAATACTAAATTCGGTTGGGAGCAGAAGGGGAAGATAGAGGAACTGTGTTAGAGGAAGGTGTTAATCTGTTTCTAGTCATTATGCATTATGTCTGTGATCTCATGGATGGGTTTTTAGACTAAAATACCAACAGTTTCAAAATCCAGATTATGTCTGCACATTACTTTTCATCTTTCTTGTACTGGATATGAATGGGACAGAGCTAATGTTCTTCATAGTGGCCATATGACACTGTGCTTTGGGATTTGTGGTTAAAACTGTGTTAACAATAAACCAGTTGTTTGGCTTTTGCTGAACCATGCTTACACCCCCCTCTCCCTTCCCCATGCAACAAGGCTAGCAGTGGGACATAGCTAGAAAAAGTGATCTAAACTGACCAACGGGATACTCTATGTAACTATATATGGACTATATATAACTTGCTCAGCAATAAATACTGGGGTAAAGGAAGAGGGGAGAGGGCTGTTTTGTCTTCCAAGGTCACTGCTGCTTGAAGACTGTCTGGGCATCAGCCTGCTTGTGGGAGATGCTGAGTTACTGCCTTTGCATTACTTATTTTTCTATTATTCTTTCCTTCATATTAACTTCTCTCTATTTTGACTTAAGAGTTTTCTTGCTTTTGCTTTTCCCATTCTCTTCCCTGTCCCAGTGGAATGGGGAGAGAAGTTCCACTGCTGACTGGGGTCAACCTACCACACTCACACACCTTTCTATACAGGCATAAAGATATTCTTAAATTCTTAAATCTCACCAAATTTAACACTTTTTGTCTGGTATACGGCATAGGATGCATAAACTTATATATGAACTTCAGCAGAAAGACCACTTAGTTGCCAAAAATCTATCTATTATAACTTTCTTTAAATGCCCTGCAAGGATGTGTTTCACAAATGCTACAGAGACTAGGGTATATAAAGATTATTCAGTGGCAAAAGCTTTTAAGACAAAGAAAGAAAGAGATTACATCCAAAGGACTACCTCCCCCCAAAATAAAATTTCTGCAGGGATTTGGTTTGAAGTTCTAATTACACTTGTGCTGCTCAGAGTGGCACGTTATCTTTGCATGATCATAACTTGTTTGGTGATATAAAATTTAATATACAGGAACATGCCTTCTTCTAACCAGCCAGGACTCCACTGGGCAAGAACAATGATATCTAGAATTTTCATTAAAGAATGACACAATATTGTCTTACTCATCTTTAAAAAAAAACTCTGTCATCATAATAACATTTTAGATGTTCCATTTCATCCAACATATATATATATTTTCTAGTTAATGTTTTCAGATAGGCCAAGACTATTATCATCACACCTTCTGTGATCTATGTGACTATGGCACATACATGTGCTTGTGTAGAGCATACAGAGCATCTCTCTTCTTACACTTATTACAGATGCAAAAATTTGAACCCTTTTGTCCTGGGTTCAGCAGTAGCAGTCATTTTTTCTCCTTCTTAGTAGCTGGTGCAGCGCTGTGTTTTTGACTTTCGGCCTGGGAACAGCACTGATAACACCAATGTTTTTAGTTGCTGCTCAGTAATGTTTACTCTGACCAAGGACTTTGTGAGTCTCATGCTCTGCAAGGGAGGAGGGGAAGCTGGGAGGAAGCAGAGACAGGACACCTGACCCAAACTAGCCAAAGAGATAGTCCATACCACAGCATGTCATGCCCAGGATGTAGAACTGGGGGCAGTTACCCGGAAGGGCTAGATCACTGCTCGGTTGGGCTGGGTATCCAACAGCAGGTGGTGAACGGTTTTATTCTCTCCCCTTGTTATTTCCCTTATCATTATTATTGGTGGTAGCAGCAGTGGTTTGTGTTACACCTTAGTTACTGGACTGTTCTCATCTTAGGCCGTGGGAGCTACATTCTTTTGATTCTCCTTCCCATTCCTCTGGGAGAGGGGGAGGAAGAGGTGGGAGTGAGCGAGCGGCTGCGTGGTTTTGAGTTACTGGCTGGGCTTAACCCATGACTCCTTTAAGACACAGCTAAACAAGAAGTAGTAAGCTTTAGTAAGTCATTGACAGGTTTCTTATGAATTTTATTACAATTGTACATAGCACAGATTCTAAACCAACTTAAAATTATATAGCGAACTACTGCAACTCAGCTCTGACAAACACCAACTTAATTAAAAACACCATAAAACTTCAAACTCCAGCAATTTAATTCTCCAGATTTTCCCTTTGAAAGAATACTTAGCTATACACATTTCAGTAGCACCATCACTAGGGTAAAGTGTCATAACGTCAGCTTGAAGCTTTAGCTTCTCAGTGCAATGCATCTGGATATTTGCTGGGTATATTTATCTGGCAACACTGCCAAGTATTATTGCAGGACATATTACAGTTTAGAAGATTGAGTTGTACTATATGGCAAATAACATTAAAAAATCCATTAAACAACATCAAAACATAATTTCAAATAACTATTATTAGCTTTCTAAGGGAAATTTTAAAAGCAGGGTTGAATAAGTATGAAATAGAGAAAAAAATAGAATACCAATTGTCCTCCTTCATTTGCTCTCTCCATACTGTTCAAATTGTACAAAGATAGAGGAAATCTGTTCTCACATCTGTATTTTGGTTCATCTTTGACAGGGAGTAAAGCCAAGGGGATACAACTAGCAGTCTTCACTCATCTCCCTGAATACATACAAGCATATGTATGTTCAAAGAAGTTAGAACATGCTGAACTCCATCTAGGCACACACACTGATCAGCTGAAGCAGCACTGATCTTGTATTAGTTCCTGAGCATGTGTTA